TAGTACACTCAGTAGAAATGATGTCCTGTTGTCCTATGACGTCCGATGTACGATACTATTACGCGAACTAAGTAATTTATGCAAGAAATTAAACAAAAAAACTCAAATGCCTAGATTATAGACGGAAATAATCACTTGTGTAGAGGTAATATTAGCAAGGCCAAGTGTCGTTTAAAATTGAGAGAAAAAACGTATAAAACTTTAGGTAATATTCAGTGTACTTACCGCCGTTTGACCATCGCTGATCACGGCTTCACGTGACGGTACCGATGCATCTATCATTGTTGCCGTTTGAGTAGATTTATTCGACAACGTATACGTTTGGGTCGCTATACTGACCATGGTCGATGTTTGAGTAGACGCGCTGACCGTTGTCGATGTTTGACTTACCGGTGGTGGTGCAATGGTCGTAGTATCAATAAACGCAGGCGGTGGAACCGACAGGTCCACAATCGTCGCTGGTGGTATAGTCGTCTTGATAAACGGCAGCGGCATATGTTGAATAACCACCTACAACGGCGAAGGCGGGAAAAAACGATTTCAGTATACAAGTTTTTAAGTTGTTATGTGGACATAAGTCATATACAGCGTACTTACACCGGATGCGGTCGATACAAAGGAATTGACATAACGGGTTGTGCCGGGTAGAGTTGCTCGAACAGTATCTGCTGATCCACAGACTCGTCGACAACAATCTGCGACAGCCGAATACAACTATTACCGACGTGCTAATCTCTTTAATAAACGTGTATGATAAAATCTTATAGTATACTCAGTAGAAATGATGTCCTGTTGTCCTATGACGTCCGATGTACGATACTATTACGCGAACTAAGTAATTTATGCAAGAAATTTAACAAAAAAACCCAAATGCCTAGATTATAGACGGAATTAATCACTAGTGTAGAGATAATATTAGCAAGGCCAAGTGTCGTTTAAAATTGAGAGAAAAAACGTATAAAACTTTAGGTCATATTCAGTTGACTTACCGCCGTTTGACCATCGCTGATCACGGCTTTACGTGCCGGTACCGATGCATCTATCATTGTTGCCGTTTGAGTAGATTTATTCGACAACGTATACGTTTGGGTCGCTATACTGACCATGGTCGATGTTTGAGTAGACGCGCTGACCGTTGTCGATGTTTGACTTACCGGTGGTGATGCAATCGTCGTAGTATTAATGAACGCAGGCGGTGGAACTGACAGGTCCCCCATCGTCGCTGGTGGTATGTCGTCTTGATGAACGGCAGCGGTATATGTTGAATATCCACCTACAACGGCGAAGGCGGGAAAAACGATTTCAGTATACAAGTTTTTAAGTTGTTATGTGGACATAAGTCATATTCAGCGTACTTACACTTACTACTTCAGCGAATTGACATAACGGGTTGTGCCGGGTAGAGTTGCTCGAACAGTATCTGCTGATCCACAGACTCGTCGACAACTATCTGCGACAGCCGAATACAACTATTACCGACGTGCTAATCTCTTAATAAACGTGTATGATAAAATCTTATAGTATACTCAGTAGAAATGATGTCCTGTTGAATCCATTTTTATTTGTTAAAATTAACACAAAATTAATTAACAAGTTGCACTAGTATAAAGAGGTAAGTAAAAACAAAATTAATTAATGATATTATAAAAATCAATAGAAAAAAACTTTAAAAATTGTTCGCATGGAAGTAATTAACTAATTAAAAATATAATTTAAAAATTGTACCACTATCGATAACTTGTAAATTTTATGAAGAATCCAAACGGTTATTTTTTTTTTTCAATTTTTCATCCGAGTATTTTCAGCAACATACGGTCTGAAGTAAAGACAAATATGTGTGTATAAAAATAAGGCCAGTATACGTTATAAAAGTGAATCCCTTTTTTTTTTTTTGAGTTAACATTATATGTTTTTACAAATTTTAGCTTAAAAATACGCTACCCACCAATAATTTATAGTGTAAAACAGGGTTTGGCTGTAATAGTATTAGAGTCATAAAATGTTCTATATATAAATGTTTCCTATACTTGTTCTAAAAATCCTATTAATTGTATCAATAAATTAAATAATATCCCCTGAAGTAGAGTTTATTCAGTTAAGGGCCTTGGTATTTACTTCAATTCTGAGCTTTCTTTTAAAACTAATTATGAAATCATCCTCAGCAAATCTTACAAAATTTTAGGCTTTAGAAATAGATACACTCAACAATTTAAAAATCTAACTACATACTATAAAAAACACTTTATTATTCTCTCGTTTGATCTGTTCTTAAGTTTGGCTTAGTAATTTGATCTGAATCGTAATCCACTTATATATAAGATCTTGATAATATTCAGTACACATTTTTTTAAATAATTGCTATTATGACTAACATTCCCATTTCTGGAGACTCTTACATGTTAGTTCAGAGTACAGAAAATTAGATTCTCTTCTTTTAAAAGTTAAGACGTCAGTTTACTCACATTATGTTTGTGTATGATTTATTGAATTATATTATTGTATGTCCTGAGATTTTAGTTCAAATGAACTTTCGAATTCTGTCCTATTATTCTCGAAATCGTTATTCCATATTTGAAGTCTAAAATCGGTAATGATTCCCTTTTAGTTAGAGCGCTAAAAACTGCTATTAGTCTGCACCACCTTAGATTTTTTTTTATATATCTCGCTATACTTTTAGGCTTAAGTCAAGCATATTATTAAAAATTATTCTATTACAGGATGATCATTATAAACTATTGTTATAATTGTTAGTATTGATGTGCATGTTGTTTAATTTATCTTGTGTTAATATGTATTAAGTTAACTATGTATACCACATATTTTATTGTAAAAGGGCTAGTCCCGTTGAATTATAAATAAATAAATAAGTATAAATATATATACAATATAAATTTCTAATGACACTAAAAAAACCTTTTGTTAGGGCCCATTCATTTTCAAATATCGAACACCAAATGTTTAGAACAATGCGGGGGAAATATATTTATATTTTATTAAATATCAATTACACATATTTGGGGTTTTCTACGAGTCCATAAGGCGAAGATCTTATAGGGCCATTCACTGGTGGAGGCTGTCCACTGGTCTTGACTGTAATTTCAATGGAGTTTTCTGGATTTCAAAATATTATTTGAGGTTAAATTTTAATATTGGCACAAGTAAAAATATGACAAATTGAACGTATTATATTATGTCAATTTTTTAATAAATTATAAATGCAAAATTAAGCCGCACTAAAAGCTGGCAGTACTTGGTCAGGTATGTTGAAAGACATACCGCTCGATGCCCGCTTATTAATTAGCTTGATTTATGTTTTCGCCAATAAAAAAACAAGCGTTGTACACATCCGGTCGTTCATGTTGAAAAACATACAACCGTTGTAAGCGCGCAACAAAGCTACCAAATCGACATTAAGTACAATTTACTTGGATAGCCTCAATTTAATAAATTTTACATATCCTCCCCCTCTAGGCTGTCTATAGGATTACACGGTGCTTTTGTGACGAAAGCAATTTTAATTGTTATTATAATTTTTTTTTACCACCACCGCAATAAATTGTATTTTGATGTATCTGATGCTTGGAGCAAGAAGGGCCAATGCATTCTGTGCATGAACGAGTTAGTCTGCTAATTGCAAAAATTGAATCATTCTTTATATACTGTGAACAAATCACACTCTGAGACCAACAAATGAATTACTCATGAAGAGTTTGATAAAAAAGTTAACATAGAGCCTAATGGAAAATAAAACCTTCAAAGCTCATTTTCCGAAAGTTGCTAAAAGTGACATTGGCCCTTCTTGCTCCAAGCCACAGATATAAATATGACGCATATAAATATAACAATTTTTTTTAGAATACTTACTTCTGAGATTGAAAATTTAAAATTTAGTGCAACCCGGCATAAGTGATGTTTTTTTAAAAATATGAAACTTACACAAGTATGTTGTTCGTAATTATTTAATTGGCTGATCCTCGTGTAATAAATTCTCCTTTTTAATAAATTTTAGAAAAAATAAATATAATAATTGTAAACATATAATAGTTGAAATAGAAAAAAAAACGGTTTTTGAGAACTGTTTATTAAATAAGAAAATACATATTTCGACATGACCATTTCAATAATGGCCCCTATTTTAATTAAAACTACCTTCATTACTAAACTAGGAAATGAAAATTGTCAGTCTTGCGCCTCGTTCGAGCTGCAAAAAAATAATAAAATATATTTTAGTCACTATTAAAATGTGAAAACAATACAATGATGGTTTGATGAAGTCAAAATATCTGTAGTGAAGTAAAGGTGTTTATTAATATTTTTTTTTGAAAATGCATTTTATTGCATGAATAAAAGGGTTATAGTGTTGTAGTATAGTGAATCTCTAGACCGATATTTTTCCTCTTACAAGTTATTTCATCTATTGAATATACAAAAGTTCCATAGCTTTCGTGTAATATTTAGCTACAAAAGTGGCGTTCCTGAACAATTTAAAAAATGTCAGTTAACACCTTTATCCACTGACCCCTTCAACTATTATAATATGTCTTAATTGGACACTGCCGTTCGATGGAATAAAAATAAATTAATACTAAATAACTGTCCTGATTTTTTCCCAAAGTGGTCGCGTACAGTGTTAACATTGAGATGAAAATGCAATCTTTGGTTTATGATTATTTATCGAAAACAAATGTACTAAAACATTTTTTGTGCACGAGTGCCAAAAATGTACGTGCTTCAAAAATATTTTCAATTTTAATATGTTGTTTATTGTATATATGTTTAATATGTTTAATATGTTTAAATGTTTAGTAATTTTTAACTAAAAAAGAGTTTAGTTTACAATACAAAATGACATTAGCAACTGTACTGAGCCATTTAAAAAATATATATTTCTTATATTAAATGCGTTAAACTGTGTCTAAATAACAAACACAAATTTGTATTGGATTAGCATATAATAATAATATGTAAGTGTCCATTAAAAAAAAAATTCCAATACAAAAACTAACCGATATGTGTTTAAATTAAAAAACAAATTTTAACACAACGGTTCATGTCATTTGCAGTGCAATTGAATAATTATTCTTAGCGACAACCTGTGTATAATATTCCAGTGAAAATATAAAAGATATTATATGGACTGACTTTCAACACACTTTTTATTTACAGTTTAAGACCTAAATATTTGTTTTAATTCAGCTGTTAGAAACGGATCATGTATGCCTCAATATTTTATAAATATTAATATTAAGTCAATCACTTATTTAGTTATTTAAGTATAATTAAATTTCATGTATCCTAAAACAGACAAAAGAAACCGTTTTATTTCATTTAGAATAAATACAATTTATTTTTTTACAAAAGGTTGATGTTAATATTATATGTATTAAATTGTGTCTTAGCAATCTAGTCAGAGAGCAGGTAGAATTATTTGTTAAACATTATTAGGATAAGTGCAACAGCGAAGTACTTTTTTAAGCATTCAATCAAACGGCTATTTTCATTTATAAAATCTTTTAGTCTTATTATGCAGTCCATTCATTGAATTATTATTACAATTTGCGCAACGAGTATACGAAATTAATTTTTATAAAGCTAAGAGGCGTGTCAGGTAAAACAACATATTATAATTTGTTGTCCCAGTACCATCCATATTTTGGTCCAATCGAACCGGATTATTTTAAGTATTGTTATAGTATTATAAGGGTATTATTACAAATTGATGACTCAAAATGGCAACTACACCAGTCACGTTGGTTAAGGACGCTGTCCAACGCTTTTACTTCATTTCCATAGTTGTATCCAAAAAGATACAATGCTTTGCCAGTAAATCTACTTAACATTTTATAAAAATAATAAATAGTTAGGTATAAATTTTAATTGTTTCGTTTCAATAGGCGTTTATTATTTTATCGAGGTGCTTTTCTAAACTTATTGTCTTTTTAAGAAAATATGTGCTAAAAATACTTTTTCTTAATTAATACAAATACACATAGTTTAAAATTTATTATTAAATCTTAACTTATTATTAAATCATCAATATAACTGCTGCCCACCAGTGCGTTATACCCTAAAATAAAAATTAAAAAATGTGTTATGTTTTATATTTTTTTGTTGTTCGATTTCGAAAAGAAAAAGGTAAACAAATTGAAGAATTCAAGAATTTAACGTAACAGACATCGAAGAAATCGAAGATGTTGTGAGTATATTAAGTGCGGTC